GGGGGTCTGGGGTTGGGGGGGGGGGTGTTTGGGTGCAGGAGAGGATTGTGGTCTGGGGGAAGGGTGTAGGAGGGGGTGCTTGGTCTGAGGGAGTTGTGAACGGAGGGATGTGCAGAAGGTTTTGCTGGTGAGCGGAGGCAGGAGGGAGTAGTGGCCTGGGGCAGGTAGTTGGGGTGCGGGAGGCGCTAGAGTGCCAGAGGCGGGCTCTGTCCAGGAGACACCTCCCGGTCAGCAGCCCAGGAGGTTCCTTGCTTTCCGTGCTCCAGCAGGCTGCTCAGAGCTGTGTGTGTTAGTAAACAGCTGCAAGCCCGAGGGAAGGGGGAATGCCTCCAGGTAGGAAGTTCTCTTCCATTACGGAGCATCTAACTTACACAGGTTCACTATCCGGCTTGCAGGCCCTAGAGGCAGACTCCCAGGAAGTGACTGACAGGAGCTGAGAAATTGTGCTGGGGGTAGGGTTGCAGAGGATTTAACAAAAAATACTAAACACCCTCCCCCCCCCCCAAAAAAAAAACACTGGAGAAAAAATTCTGTTGAAGGGGAAAAAAAAGTGGGGACGGGGACCAAAGTTGTTTGGTCTCAGGTGTCCGGTATTCTCTGAAATTTTTTACCGGGCAGGAGGCGAAAATACCCGACTGTGTGGGTGAATACCGGACACCTGGCAACCCTAGGTGGGTGACAGGGGAGGGATCCCGTGAGGATTACCTGTTGTGTCCCCTCCCTCTGGGGCATCTGTTATTGGCTACAGTCGGCAGACAGGATAAAGACATTTTAGGTGTCAGTATTTTTGGATTTTTTTTTACCAAATTAAAAAAAAAAAAAACCAACCATGCCACGGTGAGAGTTCATGTTCCAAAAAACTTAGAGTCTCTTCAGCAAGGCAAAGCCGGGGTCAGTCCCTTGCCAAGGTAGCACAGAGGGTCAGTAGAAGAGGAGGATTAGAACCCAGGTCTCCCTACTGCCTGGCCAGGGCCTCTCCAGTCCAGTCACCATGAAATCACGTTGCCACTAACCTTGGGGCAGCTAGGAGGCAGTGAAATGTAAGGTTGGGCAACAGGGCAGGGCGCTATACGTGTACACTGTAGCAGAGCAAGCGTTAACCCCCTGTATTTTGTCCCCACATGTAGATCCCATATTGATGTCTCTGAAGGAGGGCTATAAAAAAACATCCAAAGTTGTCTTTAAAGCACCGATAAGAGAGAAAAAAAGTGTTGTGGTCAATGGAATAGATTTGCTCGAAAACGTGCCCCCCAGGACGGAGAATGAGGTAAGCGATGGGCGTTGACCTAGGCTTTGGATGGCCAACCTCGTAGGTCTCGGACGTGTGCTTCCAGCTCTTCTAGGGCAAAGCCTTTCCCTGACGTCGGAAGCAGACCGCGGGGAAGGTCTGCTGCATGTTCTCATCCGGCTGACATGTCACAGAGGACTGATGTGTCCTGGATGTTATGTATTGCAGTAACACCTCACTGCCCCCGGGCACTAACCAGACACAGCACAAAACGTGGTCCTGCTGTGCAGCGTTTGCAATCTCCCCATTCCCGTTCATCTCAAGAGGAAAAAGTAGAGACTGTGTTTTACCCTAATGGTCATCATGGTCACCATTCCGAGCCTTCCTTGCCCACAGAGGGCATTGAAGTCTTCGGGGGTCCCTTCTACTAGGTTGGCTTCTGGGTGTAATCTGGTTTCTGGCATTAGTGGCTTTCACTCTATTTTCTTCTTAGATGGTGTAAATGTTCATAGAACCACAGAATCTTAGAACTGGAAGGGACCTTGAGAGCTCATCAAGGCCGGGCCCCTGCCCTCACGGCAGGGCCAAGCACCATCTAGACCAGCCCTGACAGGTGTCTGTCCAACCTGCTCTTAAATATCTCCAGGGATGGAGATTCCATAACCTCCCTGGGCAATTTATTCCAGTGTTTGACCACCCTGACAGTTAGGAACTTTTTCCTAATGTCCAACCTAAACCTCCCTTGCTGCAGTTTAAGTCCATTGCTTCTTGTCCTATCCTCAGAGGCCAAGGAGAACAATTTTCTCCCTCCTCCTTGTACCCTTTTAGGTATTTGAAAGCTGCTATCCTGTTCCCTCTCGGAGCATGTCTTCACTTGCCACACCAGAGATCAATATTCTGGTGTTTGATTTAGCGGGTCTAGTATAGACCCGTAAATCAAATGCTGAGGGCAGCTCTGGGTGGCATCTGTACTCCTCTCAGTTGTGTGCATTTGCTGCTGTCGGCCTCCCATAGTCGAGGAGTAAGGGGCACCAAGAAGAGCATTTGCTGCTGTCGGCCTCCCATAGTGAGGGAGTCACTAAGCTCGGCTTAAAGTAAGCCGACTCCATCTACTTACTCTACGTGTCTGGAGATGCGTACCTTAAACAGGCCTTCCAGGACTCGTGTAGACCTGGCCTCAGTCTTCTCTTTTCCAGACTTTCAATCTTCCCGCATAGCTCCTGTTTTCTAGACCTTTAATCATTTTTATGCTCTTCTCTGGACCTTCTCCAATTTGTCCACATTGTTCCTGAACTTTGGTGCCCAGAACTGGACACAAGCCTCCCTAAGAAATTTGTGATAATCTAGGTTGTTATTGAGATGGACACCACAGTCACCTGGAACTTCACACGAACAGTGGAGATTAAACTCTGAAACCAGACTTCTAGCACTGTAACTAAATAAAAATCCCTATCTGTTACCAGTATAGGGCATATGACCTACAGATGAGGACATGACTTTCTCTCCCAGAGAGCAACATCACATGTTCAAGATTGTAGCATATAAACACACCGGATTCTGCATCTCTACTTTTTTTTCCCAAGCTGTGTAAATCCATGTGTGTGGTGTTTTGCCTGGGTCAAACTTCAACTCACCAAACCTTGTAGAGATTTAAGCAGAGTGTGTACAAAGTGAAGTGGGTTAATTTCCTAACCGTTTTTAATAAACGTGGTGTCCATGCTACCCTTGAAGGCTCTGGGAAAACACTGGCACTGGATCCAGTATTGAATTTCTTTTCGCAAATAGAACTGTTAGGCTACACTATGCAAATAAACTGAGTTACCATGAAAAAGGACAGGGAAAATCAATGGGGTAGTTGCCGGCAAACTGATATTTCAAAAGGAACAGTGGAATGACATGAACCAAAGGCAGGTGTTCTGAGAATTGGCAGGAAAGACGTGAAGCCGTAAGAGAAAGCCGATAGTATAAATGTGACCTCAACGTTGTCCACCTATTTTTTTTTTTTTTTTGTGTCTTTCTCTGAAGCTCCTCAGAATGTTCTTTCGGCAACAGGATGAGATCCGGCGGTTGAAAGAAGAGCTCTCGCAGAAAGATATCAGAATTCGACAACTGCAGCTGGAGTTGAAAAACTTACGGAACAGCCCGAAAAATAATTAATTAACCTCGAGAGACACTTTATAAATAAAGTTTCTTTGTTTCTACTTGCTCTTTTATTTTACCGGATCCACTTACACAGAAGATGAGCCACATGGCCTGTCAAGAGGCCACATGCTAACTGGAAATACGTCCTTGTAGTCTTATCTAGCACTAAATAAATAAATAAAAGACTTGTACACTATAACTGAAAATAACTGCATGAAAGGAAGCTGGGTATGTATTTATATTCCAGCGTTTTTCGTGGAGTAAGTAGAACAATGTATTCTCTATATCTAAAGACGACGGAGCTAACCAGTAAGGCACAACTTAACTTTAACTTAAAATGGAGAGAGAATGAAGGATGCCCCTATGAAAGCAATATGGTTTATTGCTGTTAACTTTTTCCTATGCAAAGCCTGACAATGAATGCACGCAGCCTACCAAACTGGAATTGTAACTCACTTAACGGTCACCTCAAATCAAGGGCTTAATTCACAAACGTTCTCTCCAAATCCTCTGGCCCTGGCCTTTGTTTGAAGTAGGTTCAGGAAAACCTGCCCTTCACCCTGGCATTGGTTGCAAACGTTTCCTTGTCGGGAGAGAGGTAGCGAAATTTGACGTGTGTCTTAGGACGTGGCTTCATGATCCAATTTTCAAGTTCCTTACTCAATTGCTATACTCCTCTGTGACCTTACTTTGTCAGTTGCTTGCGTTTCTCTTTATGGAAACCTGTCCTTCTCCTTAGCAGGATGGGGGCTGGTTGGATAGAGAGTTTGTTTGGTTGGGGTTTTTTTAAACTATCTGAGGTTTCCTAAAAGCAGTGAGTCTCTCTTCCCTGATGTGCTAAGAGGGACCCGAGAGTCCTAGTTTCTCCTGGTGATAACTCCGCCCTCGTATACAAGCGGCAAGCAGCAAAATGCTCCCTTAGCGCTTACCCTCATTGTATACAAATGGCAAGCAGCAAAATGCTCCCTTAGCGCTCTCTCTTGCTCCGTAGTAAATGTTGCCAAGTTAGCGGTAACCGCTCCTGTGGAAACCTGAATGAAAGATGTCTGGGAACTCTGTGTGTCCGTTCTGCTGCCGATAGAACTGCGCAGAGTTTAAGCTGCACGATAAGTTATACATACACAGCATAGGCGCACAATGACGTTTTTGTGAATTACGCCCTTACTACAGGGAAAGACACCAAAATACTGCTAGTTCACCTACCTATATTTTCACTTCAGTTGAGCAGGACTGTAACTGCCTGGCAGTATCAGTGCAACACGTTCCCCTCCTCCCCCCGTTACTTTCTATTGTGTTCTGCTTTCCCTCCCCTTCCGTTAAGTGCCGTCCTGCGCTCTTATTTATGTTACCACAAACGTGAGGAAATAAAACGGTTTCAAGATACCAAACCTTGCAAGTGGCAATGTCTCCTTTGAGTTTTCCTTTGTAGCGTCGCGGTGTCGGGCACGAGCGAGTACATTTTCCAAAATGCCGGCTGAGTCGGGGCAAGAGGAGCGGAATCCAGGTAGGCCGTCCCACGTCGTGCTGGAGAGCGGCATGGAATACGCTTTCCAGAACTGCCACGGGGTCGCGGTGGCTCACTTGCTCACACAGCCTAATAGAAAGGTGACTTTCTCCCCAGAATGCTACATCCTCTGGAACCTACTGCAGAGATGAAGGTGGAGGATTTTCACGGGCACGCGAGGTACTTAAGTATCCAATTCCACCTGTCGTGCACTGAACAGGGATCCGATGACCATCAAAATTCTGTTTCAATCCAATGAACTTGACCTCTGGTGAGCCATGGCTGGGGTCTGCTGGCAGCCCCCCCGGGAGAGCCCCAAGACCAGCAGCGGAGGAGCTGGGGTGGATCTCCCCTGGTCTGGCAAACTCCCTCGTTTGGGACAAGTCAGGTCCTGATGGTGCCGGACCAGGGAGGTCCAGCCTGACTCTCACACCTGTTGATATCTTTATGACCATAACTTAGCTAAGTAGCCAATGAGGCCCGCCCCCTGGATGAGCAGGTGATCACGTGCCCGCAAAACTGTGTCCATCGGATGGACACAGCGAGGCCCTTACAAGGCACAAAGCCCCCTGAGTCTCTCCCATGCCAACTGACGTAGCCTGTGGCAGCTGGGCCTGCCAGCTGACTGCATGTTCCATAGCCCAGCCGAGCTGCTGCCAGCTACGCAGCTTCCAAAACCCCTCCTGAGCTGCCCTCAGCTGTTTTTTTTCCCCCCGGTGAACCACTCCATTGGCACATCCCAACCGTAACCCAGTTCTTACCTTCGCGTCCCGAAGAAATGACTCCCCGGAGCTGCTCCCAGGAGGGGCTCAAGCTAGAAAGCCCAAGGCCCGTGCGTAGCATGGCAGAATGGGTACTAACACTGTGCAGGGCCCGGCCTGGGCTGCTCTTTGGTCGGTTTCCTAGGGTCACGGCCCACGCCCGTTCCTCAGGCCAGTGGTGCTGAGGCTACTGCGAGCAGCGACAGATGCAAACGCACTGTCGACCAGGCTGTCCTAACCCCAGCAGAATACGCAGCTGCGTAGGGAAGCCGAAAACGTGGGGCACCCCTGGGTCCTAATGTCCCCCTCCTCTTCCTCTCTCTGGGCTGCGGCTAGTTCCCTTTCAAGCGCCAGAGCCCGCCAGAGCTCAGAGCCGCGCACTAAACCTGCACACGAGCCGTTCTCGTGGGAGTGAAGCCATTTCACAGGCACGTGGTTCGCCAACCCCGAGTTTCCAATTTGCTTTAGAACTAGCTCACGCCTGCGTCGCTGAGGATGATTAAATGACAGCGCTAAAACATCGTGTTTCTCCCCCCCCCCAAACTACCAGTGGGCACGGGGCACCAGATAATAGGACAGCGCAGGGCCCCAAAATCCTGCTTGCTTTTTATTCCCCTCGGCGGGGCAGCATTCGGGTTCCCACTGGCTCTGTGTTGATGCAGGCCCTGAGGTTTGCCCTTTGGGGTGGGACTTTTAACACAGCCCAGTGATTCTGCGGGCTGAGGGGTGGCTTACTTCTTCTTTCCCGCCTGCCTGCCGGCTAGCTGCGGCCACTGTTCTCCGCCCGGCTTCAGGCTGGACGTTGAAGCGCGTGGGAACGGCTGTGGGGTGCCGGAGAGCCAAAACCATGTAAGGGGGGCGCACGCTGGAAACGTACGTTTTGGTAGTTGGGCAAGGGCCTGTGCTTTGGGGCGTGCTTGGAGACGAGCCACGCAGGGCCAGACGTGGCTCTCGGGCCCACCCAGACAGCACCCCCTGCAAAGCAGACCACACTACGGTCCGTGTCTGCCCCCCATCGCTCCCCAGGAAAGAGGATGGTCCTGCACTCCGAAGCCCCACGGCTCTCCTGGGCCGGGGGGCCTGGCCACCCC